TGAATTAACTTGAAACCCAAATTTAGATTATATCAAGAACAAAAGAAGACTTGATTAGACAAAATATGTAAAAGAAAGAAAAAGAATTTGGTTTGACACAGATTCTACACAAAACAAGAAAATTTGTTTGGACGAGCGATACAAGGCTGCTCACGAGAGGTTGGAAGCTTGTAGGTTTATCCCAAAATCAAATTAAGCTGTTAGAATTTGAGTGTGACCTGAATTCTTTATTGAAGTAATTGAAAAATTCTAATTGAAGTGTACGTCTAGAAGAATCTAGCTTGAAATGCTGTTGGAGTCCTATGTCAAGTTAAAGTTCTATTTTGGAAGTCCATGGGAGTGGGAATTTGTTTTTGACTCAATTTTTTGGTATCCTACTTCATCAACAACTCTATTAGGAGGGTTTGTACATCCCTTACATGATCTCTATAAATATTAGGCTCTTTTATACAATTTTATAATGTGAGAAAATAGATTACTAGAATTATTGGATCTATTGTAATTTTCTCTCTTCATCATTATTTTTGAGTCAATAAAATTTCTTAATTCATCTGTCATATTTCTTGTCTTTATTATTATTTTGCTTGATCTAATACTTCATTATTTGCCATATAACTTCAACAATTCATGCCAGTGGTTATTTTCGTCAAGTGGTATTTAAACAATACATAATTCTTGTATTTCCAACATTGCTAATAGCGATCCAGCCCTATTAATATTTCTTCTAACAAAAGATATTTTGGTTGTTTCACAACAAGTGATATTAGAGAGATTCTGGAATCTTGTTTGTTTCATAATAAGTGGTATCAGAGTCTAGGTTCAACAGTTCCACAAGAGCACATTGTTTGATTTGGTCGAGGTTTTTTATTCGTGATGGCTTCCATGAAGTATGAAATTTCGCTTTTGGATCAGAGCACTAGATTTTCGATATAGTAGGTTAAGATGCATGCAGTACTTGCACAATAGGAATTGGATGAACAATGCTGGGAATTGACAAGATTCCCGTAATTTTGACCGCGCAAGAGAAATTACGGAAGGATAAGAAGACAGTTTCTCACATTCATCTTCATTTATCGAATATCATTCTTTAGGACGTTTTAAAGGAGGTTTTAACAGCTACTCTATGGTTGAAGTTGGAGCAATTGTGTATGACTAAAAGTCTGACAAGCAAGTTGAACCTCAAACAGCGTTTATAGTCTCATTGAATGGCAGAAGGAGGATCATTGGAAGATCACCTGGTTGTATTTAAAAAGAACACCACTAATTTGGAAACTTTGAAAGTAGAGTATGATGAAAAAGATTTAGCCTTGATTATATTGTGTTGGTTGTCTGCTTCGTTTTCTCCATTTAGAGACATAATCTTGTATAGTCGTGATACTCTCACGATAGAGGAGGTGTATAATGCTTTATATTTAAAAGAGAAGCTAAAGCATCTAGTTTCTGAGCCCAGAGATAGAGAAGGACTGGTTGCTCATGGTGTTTTTGGAGGGGGCATAATGAAGTCTAAGTTCAGTAATCAGATTTGTAGCTATTGCAAGAAGAAGGGGCACATGAAGACGGATTGCTACAAATTACAGAATAAAGAAAGGTTGGTTGCAAGTCAATATGGGAAGCAATCAGAGATTTCAGGTGAAGCAGACATCGCAGAGAACATTGTAAGTGAGGGAGATCTCTTGGCTATTTCTGACATCAAGTCTAAACCAGAGGAGGATTGGATTCTGGATTTAGCGTGTGTGTTTCATATGTGTCCTAATAAGGACTTGTTTACTACATATGAAACTGTTTCCAAATGTGTCGTGATTATGGGAGATAACACACCTTGTCGGGTTGTTGGAATTAGTACAATCAGATTGAAGCTATTAGATCAGACAATTAGAACACTTGGCCAGGTTCGACATGTTTCGAATTTGAAGAAGAATCTTATCTCATTGTCTATCCTTGATTCAAAAGGTTATGAGTTCTTTGGTGGACGTGGGACTTTGAAGGTTTGTATGGGTGCTCAGGTTGTATTGGAGGGACATAAAAGGTCTAAGTTATACATCTTGCAGGGTCGTATAGAATCTAAAAAGTGTTAATCAGCGCAAGTTCAATACCGTGGTGGACATTCAGTTTGGTACAATACCTTTAGGAGCTCGTTAATGGTCGGATTTAAAGAATACTGCTTAATGGAGTTCATGAGATATGGATAATGCTACTTTGCTACCATTACCTGCAATGCCATTGTATTCAATTGCTATGATGGATCCAGTGGTCAAAGGTATGTGGATGCTGATTTTATTGAGCATGTTTTTAGCGTAGTAGAAGGTGTACAATATAGCAACGGGCCTTCTTTAAAAGCATTTGAGTTTGATTCTGCTTTGATGTGTGTTACTGCCCAATTTGGTGAATTTTAAATTTATTATGATTTTTTTAGAATTTGAGGTAATTCTGTAGAGTAGTTCTTGGATTCATTGGAAAATGTGGAGTATTTTGTGTTGGATGGAGAAATCAGTTTTGATTATTATTGAAAAGTCGGTTCATTCATTGATTTTCTTCTAAAAGTGGAGAATATTTTTGTTGCAATGGAATTCTTGTCAAGGTGGAGATTGTTAGGATTTGAATGTGACCTGAAATTCTTGTTGAAATAATTGAAAAATTCTAATTGAAGTGCACACGAAGAAGAATTCAGTTTGGAATGCTATTGGAGTCCTATGTTAAGTTTGGAGTTCTATTTTGAAAGCCCATTGAGAGTTGTAATTTGTTTTAGACTCAATTTTTTGATATCGTACTTCATTAACAACTCTATTAGGAGGGTTTGAACAACCCCAATATGATTCATATAAATATTAGGCTCTTCTATACAGTTTTATGATGTGAGAAAATAGATTACTAGAATTATAGGATCCATTATATTTTTCTCTCTTCTCCATTATTCTTGAGTCAATAATCTCTTAATTCCTCTACCATATTTCTTGTCTTTATTATTCTTTTGCTTGATCTAATACTTCATTATTTGCCATATAATTTCAACAATTCATTCCGGTGGTTGGTTTCATCAAGTGGTATTCAAATAATACATAATTCTTGTATTTCCAACATTGCTAGTAGTGATCCAGACATATTGATATTTCTTCTAACAAGAGATATTTTGGTCGTTTCACAATAAGTGGTATTAGAGAGATTCTAGTATCTTGTTTGTTTATAACATAAGCCTAGTCTGATAAAATGTTACAATATTATCAATTGTATATAATATTCTTGTGTCCCTATTACAAATTAGAAGATCCTATTTATGAGGCTACGAGTAACTCTATAAGGAAATATTGTGTAGTAGTCACATAGTCAAGTATTATAGAAAATAATTCAAATAGTTGAAAAAATATGATGGAAAATAATCTTTCCATATCTTGAACTGTTGGTAAATAGAATTGAAAATATTGACTTTAAAAGTTAGGGTATAGTCGATATTTTTAAAATTTCTAACTGAAAGCTTCTTTACGTACAAACTATATTGATCTTAGTAAGAGATATTCTAGATTAATGTGTTTTCAAATATCAGTTATACTTTTTCCAGCGTTGTCAATTTAACTCGTTGGCTCAGGCGGCACGAGACTTAACTCGGGAAAAGCTTGAGCCTGCCCGGCTCGACCTTCAAGAAACCAGGTCAAGGCTTAGGCTGGGCATCATGTTGGGGAGTTGGCCCGAGCCCGAGTTGGGTCGTGTGACTTGTCGGGCCATACCGTGTGACGAGCCGGCCCAAACACTGGCCATTTTGTCCCATGTTTAAAAAAAAAATGGCGCTACATCTGTCTTAAAAATAGGCAACAATAGATGCCTGTTAAAAAAATGTGAGGTAGCTACGGAGCTGCTTGTAATACAAAAATAGAAGGTAGTCGTAGCTGGTTGCATTACGTCTGCCATAGCTGCCTGCATTATGGCTGCATTTCTATCTTTACAAAAAAGGCAGCTATAACATCAAATTCAAAATTTGTAGAAATAAATATATTTTTTTTGCTATAAATACGAGATAAAATTGCACTTATTTTAAATTGTTTAAAAAAATTTTAGAATTTTACAAATAAAAAAAGAGCCCGCTCGGCTAGACTAGGCCCGAGCCGAAAGCCCGAACCAAGCTTCAATTTTTCGACCGAGCTTTGACTCGACTTGATTTGAGCAAAAAAAAAAAAAAAATCCTGAGTCGTCTTTACTCGAGCCGAGCCCGAACATCGAGTTTTGACTCGCGAGCCGACTCGACTCGTTGACATCCCTAACTTTTTCATGCAATGGGCAAGGACAAGGGGCTACATGATATTTTGGGACGAGATGGTTTTTAGAGCATGTTGACAAACATTATTGTAGGAAAAAAATTTTTGAATAGTGATTTTTAAGAGAATGTGATCAAAAAGTAGGAAATTTTTTTTAGTAAACGTGTAAAATATTTTATTAAAAACGATCTTATAACAAATCATAAAATAAATTAACCGGTGTCAAACAGGCACTTTAATAGTTTTTTAATGTTAAATACATACTATGTATTGCTGGCTGGATTACCATTTATTGGCATTTAATGTGACCATATTTATAATAGGGTAGCTTTTCTTATTTTAAAAACTAATGTAGAAATGATGCGTCTTTTTATCTGTTCATTTACTATTTTGTGAGATTATTGATGTGTATGGGGGTATCAACCACTTAAATTTAGTTGGTCTAAAATGACTGGCCAATTTATTTATTTATTTAAAAAAAAAAATACCGATATGCATCATGGTTCGATAAAAAAAATACTATTTATAAAGGAAGAAAGAAACACGATGAAAGCATATTATATTAATATTATTTTCATTTATCGATTTACAATGCCCCTAAAGGTGGTATAACTAATGTATCTCGTTAGATTGAACAATATCAATCAAAAAAAAAAACTAGATATGGCCTTGAAACACCCTCCTGCCTCGTAAAATCACCCGAAAAAAGAAGAAAAAAGGAAAGGAAAAGGAAAATCACCCATATACCCAATTTCTTCAAGGACACCTTGAATTTCTCCCTGGTCCACCATAATAAAAATAATTTCCCCAAACCCTATTAATCCCCCCTTGAATATTATAGCAATTTGGATGATCAGCCAAAACCCTAAGATTTGATAATGGCATTAAACTATTATCCCAATCAACCACTTTAAGATTTCTAAAATAAGATGCTTTTCCGAAGCCTTCTGTTGCAAAATGTCCACTGCCCATTTGCGTTGATGTGTGGGAATTTGAGGCCCTATTATTCACGATTTCTCCACCAAATTGTACCATACTTGCATGATTTCTTAGGTGTGTGAACAAAATAGATGGCCAATAACCTACCAAAACCCCATTGCCAAACTCTAGCCACCAATTTCCATGCTTTGGGTCCTGCAAAATGACAGCGTAATAAAGTTTTTCATGTTACATTATCGTCTGGGACACAACACAAGCATAGTATATTTTAAGAAAAGTGCATTTTAGAGCACGATTATTTTATATGGTACAATGACTCAAGCAATAGTAGAAAAAAGAAGAAAGACCGAAAGAATGGAACTTTATTAGTACTAACTAGCATTCAAAACAATGACAAGTGCATGTTTAAAATAGTCGAATAATTGTAATTTTGTCTCGAAAGTTTTACTGTTTCGTCATTATCCAAAAATCACTATTCAAAACTCAATTTTCTCAAAATAATGGCGAGGGAATTAGGTTTCTCAAACAGTAAGTTAAGCCAAATTTCATTGACTTCTCATTAAAAAAATAAAATAAAAACTATTTGTTGACTTGAAAGCCTTTGAAAATATACCCAGAAGGTTAAATATTTGTTAATTAATTCAAGAAACCCATGTTATCATGGCAAAAAAAAATTATAAGATTACAAGTATAATTACCTTCCATACTAATAAGCTAATATCAAATTGGCCCCTATTGTATGAAGAAATTGGAGAAATTGCAGCCCCAATTGATATTCTACGGTTAATTTGAACAAATCCTGAGCACAGCAAATTGTAACAGCCTGTTGCTTGATATGCATCACTCTGCATTCACATTAAATTATTTATAATTAAGTCTCATAAGTAATTATTTTAAGGTATGGTCAACAAATTATTAGAAAATTAATTAAATAAGTTTGACAAAATTAATTAAAAAAAAAAAACTCACAGTCCAGTATGTGAAGAACCTAGGATAGTTGTCCCCGTAAAGCTCCGGGCTAACCTGTTGGAAATGAATTAATTAATTAATTGACTTGACATTTAGGGTTACATTAATTACAAAATTTTAATAAGATAAAGAGGTAGTTGAAGATTTAATTGCTGCTTTGATGGCGTTACAGAAATGGTTTTCAGTATTAATTTGTATGTGTTTCGTTTCGAGTATAGAAATCGTATGTTTTTTGAGCGCATAAGAAATTATCATACGGGGATAATTAGATTCATTTTTTTTAGCCGTACTGAAAAGTTACTTCCTCAAAAAGTAACATTTACTTCTAGGAAAACTAAGTTTACTAGATAAAAAAAAAAAAAAGTGACTTTGAAAATTCATATCGAATAAGTAACGTAAAAGTAAATTTAGTAAAGAAAATTATGAACTCACCTGCCAACCAGCTTCAATGGTGTTGAGATCATCACCAAATGAACCAGCAATTACCCACAATTGTGATATGCTAAATTCATAATGATTTGCAACTCTAGGCGACCATACATTTATACTTGCTTTTGCTCCATAATATTGATTTCCACTGACATACCCTACAGCATGCTGCAACCCAGAAACGTTAGGTCGACTACATAACTCATTTTTCATCTCGATCAATTAGACTAACCTCATGGCCATAGCTAGACGAATCTCTTCGAATAGGCCTTCGTATTTTTCTTCCGAATCTTCGTAGAGAACTAGCCCTCAAAAAATCTTGCTCTGTTGTTCTTCTAATCGGAATGGTCCCTTCTGGGCAAAATTCACCAGACAGAGACCATAACTGAACATTTTCTTTAGACATGCTGCTGCTTGTTGTATTTTGACCTTTTGGCCTTTCAGGTGGATCCTGCAAATTCAAGAAAACGGGCCTATGATTCTGGTAGTCGACACCAAATTTATTGGGAAAAATTCTTAAATTGTTGTGTTTACCATTGGTTTTTGTCCTTTTAATAGAGGATGATCAAAAGCTGGCTGTTGATGAGTTAATACACAATCTATAAGATCACCATCAGGACTCTGTAAATTAAACAAGAATGTTAAGTCAGATTCTTTGAGCAAAAATAATCAAGTTAAGCAAAAATAAGCAATTAATTACCTGAATTGTTTTGATAGAAGGCTTATTGATCTTCATCAGACTGTCTCTAATAAACCTCATCTTCAGCGATTCTTTTCTTGAATGAAAATTCTGATTGCTGCCATTGAAATTTACAGATTCCACTGGACAAACAGAGAAAATAAAGAACAGAAAGAGAACGACAACTGAAATGATTGGGGAGATTTTGCGACAGTTAGAGGCCATTTTTGAGGAATGCATTTTTTAACATTGGCGTTGTCTTCTTCTGAAATCAAAATCAATCCACTTATTCTCAAAATAAGCAATTCCCAGAAAAATTCATCCAGCACAGAGAATTCCAAGGAAAAGCAGCCTACTCTCTCACCATTTCCAAAGCTTAAAAGCTACTTAAAATAAGTAAATACTCTCTCTCTAAACTTCTATACTCTGGTTTTATATTACAACTTCTAGGCACGAATTAATAAAGAAACAGAGTAATGATTTCAGAGATTTTTCGAATTCTGCCCATGTGGGGGGTGGGGTGGGGATATAACTTATTAGTATGGAGTTGTGACCAAGACATGTAATAATTATAATGAAGTTTTGAATATTTGAATGAAATTAAGCTGAAGGATGGGTGTGTTTGTGTTTCCAGTCTCCAATACAAAGACTGAAACTTTAACTTTTTTGTGTCAAAATTTATAGGGCAGAATGGGGACGGAAGTTGTGTTGTTATTCTTTACTTTTAGTTCATGAGGCAGATAGGAATTATACTTGATTCTGGGTTTTCTAAAGTTCCCAGCTTTGAGTGTTGCCCTTTCTCTCTTCCCAAGATGCTCTCCATCTTTCCGTCCCATAGCCCCTGTTTGATCCACATTTTTTTTTTCATTCTCATTCTTTTATTCATTTTCAACCACACGTTTTTCAATAAAATAATATTTTTCATCACATCAATAACTCTTCCTTCTTTTTTAACCACGTATTCTCCATCACATCATTAAAAAAAATGCATTTTTAATTTCATAATGTGCACCAAACAGGT